CGTAATAATTGATTTGATTTTTGGAAATTCTGTCGTTCGCGCAATTTTTCTGCTTCTAAGCTTTTAGAAATTTTTACGGATCATTCAATAGCTTCATCTAAACTGTGTATTTGCCGATGCTCAAGACGAGTTATTATATTGGATGGTAAACCATTAATAAAAGCTTCTAAAACTTCTTCGTCTATTTTTGCCATAAAAGCGCGGCTTGTCCTTTTACCTTGACGTCTGTTTCCATCTAGTATAGCAAATTTTAAATCTTTTATTCTTCCGGCGTACTTCAAGATTGTTTCATTAGGTGCTTTGTAAGCATTAGCAAGTTCACCTCGATATTGTGCAATAGATTTATTTGGTGCGAAGATGGCTTTTAATTTATCTAATAAATCAACGACGCGAGTGTACATATTTCCCTCGACAGCCTGATAAGCATCACCTTCCAACTTATTAATAATAAGTTGGACTAATTGAGGTTCCTGTACGGAAGATAGTAAATCCCGAGCACGTTAACAAGAACGGGAGAATTGAAATACCGAAATTTTATATCCGTCAAAATTCGAAATGTTAGCGACTACATCTTTTAATTTTAAAGATGGCATTTGGATTGATATTTCGTTTTGAAGCGGCGCGTCTTGATATTCTTCATACGCGGATGCAGCTCGAGAAGGTTCATTTATGTCTGTTCCAACGTACTAATTTGTTCCGGTAATTTTCGCAATTGTGAAAGTTTAGTTTGTATTTGAGAAAGCATTTGCATTAAAGAATTTGCATCGATAGCTTCAGTGGCGCGTCTTTCCATTACTTCGCGTTCGTGCAATAAAGATTGATGCTGCGCATGCAATTGTTTCTCGCGTTTGTCAAACTGCTTTTGTCTAATTTCTAACTCAGCATCTGCTGATGCTTGAGAACGAGTTGAAAGTGGCATTTTGTTCTTTTATTTCTTATAAAAATGTTGATCACTAAATTGCAAATAGAAAAATAAAAATATAAACCATAAATAAAATAGGACTTCAATAAGATTCACCAAAGATAATTGCAAATTGCGTTTTACAGAGAAATATAAATTCTAAAAGAAGTATATAAGACACAAATATAGATACATATAAGTTGACCATAAAAATCGAATAATTTAACAACAGATCAGCAAGTCATCTCACCGCTGCCACCAAAAATATATGTTACGTCCCGGTTACAAAGTAATAGAGAACTACAATACCGAGATGGTTAACATAATTATTTTATTCAAATGCCTCCCATGTTTTTCAGTCACCCTGCATTCACCGGGTTTACTGGGGATGAGGAAGATTGTGATCCATTATCAAATTTAAATTGTATTCTAAATGAGAGTAAATAGGATAAAAAGATAAAATAAGATAATATAATATAACTAGATGATTAAGTTATGACAGGGAATATGAGGGAATACTGGTAGATGCAACAACTAGCTTCACTTTATCTGTATAAGACTGTATTTAATACTTTAAGAACTTTTATTAAATAAAGGGTAGAACTCGATGCTTTCTTTACGGCGTTGCATAGACAACTAACTTAATAGAGAACATCCTGTGTAAGGAATGACCATACGATGACATCTACATAAATTATGGCAGCGCATACTCGATACAATATGAAAATAAGGCGCGATTTTCAACACCCCTTCTATCGATATGCGCGATAAAATAACTGTTAACTTATGTTTCTAAGCGGTTCAATCCTAACATTTCTACACAACGTAAATGCTTACATTTTGGTAACGCTTTGGTAAGTATATCCGCTGGCATTAAATCTGTTTGCAGATAATGAATCACAATTTCCTTTTCTTCAACTAATTATCGCGTAAAATGCAAACTTATATCTATATGTTTACTTCGCTTATGGCATACTGCATTCTTTGATAACTCAATGGCGCTTTGATTATCACAGAATACATTAATTGGCGTAGTTACATATTTCTCAAAGCCCATATGTTCTAGAATTCGTTTTATATAAATAATTTCACGAGAAATTTCAGAAAGTGCAGTATACTCTGCTTCCATCGTAGATAAAGATACAGACGCTTGTTTTATTGACTTCCAACTTATTGGAGCACCACATAAGAATAGAATGTTTCCCGATCGCGATTTACGATCATCAATATCAACCTGCCCAATCGGAATCGGAATAGGCTTTTAAATTTTCGTCATCTTTTACATAAGTAATTCCATAATGTGCAGTAGCTTTTAAGTATTTTAATATACGTTTCGCAATAAGCCAGTGCTCGTAGCCTGGATTCGAACAGAAACAACTTAATACACTAGCAGCAAACGCTATATCCGGCCGCGTGGCATTAGCTAAATATATTAAACCTCCTACTAACTCTCTATAAGGTCGTTTAGCCATTTCTTTCATTTTCATTTCATTTCTTCATTTCTTTCGCTTTCAGTTTGTGGACACATTTCTTTCGAGATTTTTAAATTTGATTCAATCGGCGTGGATACTTCCTTAGAATTTTGCATACTAAATTTTTCTAACAACTAATTGACATATTTTTGTTGTGACAAACGTATTTTTCCCGTTTCACCTTCGCGTTGTACTTTCATACCAAGAATATTACTTATTCTACCAAGGTCAGTCATTTTAAACGATTTCTTTAATTTTGCCTTTACGTTCTTAAGCATCTCTATATCTTTCGAAGCTAAAATCAAATCGTCTACATAGATAACTAGAATAACACGTTTTTCCGCTTCGCCAAATACATAAACGCAAGGATCCGCTAAAGTACGTTTTCCATTATTCTCAGTGATAAAACTATCAAACGCATCAAGTTTTTTATACCACTCTCGACCTGATTGTTTTAATCCATACAGCGGTTTGAGCAATTTACAAACTTTATCTTCCTCGTCGCTTTTTACAAACATTTCCGGCTGTTCCATAAATACCTCTTCATGTAGTTCGCCTTGTACATAAGCCGAAATGACATCCATTTGATGTACGTGCATTTCGTCGTTCACCGATGCAGCCAACAGCGCACGTATTGTTTCGTATCTTGCGACTGGAGCAAAGACTTCTTGAAAATCAATTCCTTGTTCTTGTACATGGCTTCGAGCTACTAATCTAGCTTTGTATTTTTTGATTTCTCCGTTTTGATTTATTTTAGTTTTAAACACCCATCGATTAGATAAAACTTTTTTGTTGGGTCGAGGTACAAGGACCCATGTTTTATTTTCTTGTAACGTATTGTACTCTTGTTTCATAGCAGCTAGTCATGATTCTTTGTCGAGTCTTTCTGGAATCTCAGACGCACATCTTGAGTCTGGATATGAACTTCCTCTAGGTTGATATACCTTACGTGGTCTTCCGGGCTTTCCCGTTTTCAAAAGAGTAGGACCTCTTCCATGATTTCGCGTTTGACTCGTCTCTCTGCTTGTCGCCTCTTCTGGATCATTACTCTCGGTATCGCTTTTATCAATTGCATCTTCATTTTCATTTTCATCTTCATTTTTTTCGCTTAATGAGTCATTGTCACATGGTGTGTCTATGGTTAAACAGGGCAAGTCACAAGTTCCTTTTGACAAATCGCGTGCACAATCAATGTCTTCGAAAAACTTTACGTCGCGTGCTTTAATGACCTTTTTTGTACCTGGCCTGGTTCCAAAGATGATAGGCCTTAGATTCTTCTGAGTAGCCCACCAGAATATACTCGTCACCTTTAAGTTGAAACTTTCCTCGTGATTGTCCCTTGTTGAGCATGATGACTTTACTTCCAATAGTTCTAAGAAAACCAACGTACGGTTCCTTCTGTAACCATGCTTCAATCGGCGTTATTCCATTTAGGCTCTTCATCGCGCATATGTTTCTCAGGTACGTCGCTGTATTTACAGCCTCAGCCCACATTGACTTCGGGAGATTTGCTTGCAGCATAATACACCTTGCCATTTCTACGAGTGTGCGATTGACGCGTTCTGCAACTCCATTTTGTTGTGGGGTATACTCAACACTTAACTGACGCGTAATACCTTCTTCCCTAAGAAAGTCATTAAATTCTTTAGATACATACTCTTTACCGTTGTCTGTACGGAGTTTCTTTATACGCCTGTTTGTTAGATTTTTCACTTTCCGTTTATAGTCTTTGAAAGCTTGAAGTACATCAGATCGATTTCTAAGCATTACGGTTACTGTATATCTCGAATAGTCATCAATAAATGTTACGAAATATCTCGCACCACCTGCAGATTCTACATTTATAGGACCGCATATATCTGAGTGTACTAAAGACAAATGTTCTTAGTAGGAGTAAGGGGCGGGTTCTAACCCAGGTCCTCTCAGGGGGGTGAGGCGCGCGGGAGATTACGGTGGCGCGGGGGAATGTCACGCAGGACGGAGGGGATTTCGGCGGCGGCGCGTGTTAGATGTTTTATGGCAATATTATATTACATAACTAAATGAATAATGAAAGGCAATAAAGAGCCAACGCAGTTGTGGGGCGTGGATAAAATAATTTCCAAAGCAGCAATTCAATTTTAACGATCCATTCGCTTTATTCCAAACGTTTCGGACTCAATTCGAGCCTTCTTCAGTGATTCTAATAAAAACAAAGAAAAAATACATAAATCAAATGAGAACAAAATAGAAAAGCAAAATCGGTAAAATACAAAAGAGAGGAGAAAGCATAGTCACATGAATGCATGATCTATAAGAGCGACACGACTTCGTCAAGGCTGATCCATCCGAGAAAGCACGATGCAAAAGCCCTCTCAGCGGTACAAAGCGCGAAGAGCGATGCACTGACAAAATATATATAATCAAAACTAGTCACATGTCTTAAAAGCGAGAGAAATTCATTAACGTTAGTCAAAGGCCACTCACTCAGACAAAAGACGAATCAGCAAAAACGAGACGAAATAATCGATACGGTAACAGTCGAAAGGGTCGAATTTGAACGGTAACGGTAATCATGTCATAGTGTGGTCGGCAATAACAAACTAAATATAACGAGGACAAAGCCAGTCAAATAGAAAAACAACCCGTTACATTTTTGGCATGTTTTCAATAATCGACAGACACGAAGTATTCAATTTTAAAGTGTCGCTTTGGAGGTTCAACGATTTCTTTTGGCGCTTAATATGAATCATTTCGGATATTAGTCTTTTTCCTAAAAGCATTTCTTCATCCAAAATCTCAACATCGTCGAAATCGAAAGTGTGATTAAGCGCTCTATGTTCGGCAATGACGGACGTAAGATTCCTTCTATGTTCTTTGATCCTCGTCCTTAACAGGCGACCCGTTTGTCCCACGTAAGAGGCGTCGCAATCTGTGCAATTAATTTTGTACACTATATTATTACGCCAATCCTTCCGTAAATCGTCCTTGCCGACTTTAATGAATCTGCGCAAATTGTTTATTCCGGTGTAAGAAAGCCTAACATCAAGATCTCTAATGCAGTATCGGAAACGTTCTGATATGTTCTTCACGTATGGGACATTAAAATATGTGATCTTGCTTCCTCCAACCTCAGCGTCAATCACACTCTCAACATCATTCGAAGCGTTGTCATGTTTGTTCTTAAGTCTATGAAATAGGATATTAAGCCGATCGGCAATTGTGCGAAAGATAAGAGAGAGCGGATATCCATTGTTTAGAAGGATGTTGACAACAATTTCGAGATTTTCTTTATGAAACATAGGATGAGAAAGCCAAAAAACTTTATCTGTTAGACCGATGATTGTGCCTTTTTTCTGGCAAAGGAGGTGTCGCGACTCAAAGTGGAGGTACCTTCCCGAGAAAGTTGGTTTATGAAACCAATTAAATTCAATATATCCATTCTCTAAAATAATTGTGATGTCAAGAAAATTCAAACGGTTGTCGACACCCTCCTCAACAGTGAATTGCAACCTTGTGTGGAACGAGTTAAAAGTGTTCAAAACAATATTGAGCATCGAGGAGAGAGCCGCCAACACGATGTCGTCAACAAATCTAAAATAAAAGGGAAGATCCATAGGTAGAGCCGCGATAGCCCTTGACTCCAAATCTTGAAGCGTGATCTCAACGATAATCGGGGAGAGAGGAGAGCCCATGGGCGTGCCAAATGTTTGTTGATAGTAAACATCATTAAACATAAAAAAAGTAGAATTCAAGATAAGGCGAACTGCCAATAGAAATTCATCGCGAGGTATCCGGCAATTAATTCCTATATAGTCCCATCTATCAGACAAACTATTAATGACCATATCCAAAGGTATGTTGGTGAATAGTGAGACGACATCTAACGAAATTAATTTTGTATCGCCCACAATACGTTTGCCATTAAGTTTCTCGACTACCTGCGCACTATTAATAATTTGGCTATCAGGTCTCGGAATAGAATTATAAATGATGTCATGTAAAAATTTAGCGAGACCATAAAGCGGTGTGTTCTTAGATGAGACTATTAAGCGTAACGGGTTATTTTTCTTACGAATTTTCGGCAGCCCATAAGCTCTCGGTAAAACGCCGTCTGTACAATTCAACGATCTATACTTCGCAACAGAAATATAATCACGAGCTCTCCACCTCGCCAGCAGTTCGTGTAAACTGCTAATCAATTTATTAATCGGGTTCTTATTAACTACTTTATACGTGTCTTCATCCGCTAACAAACTAGACATATCAGCAAAATAGCTATTTTTATCCAACGCGACTATCATGTTGCCTTTATCAGCCCTCGTAAACAAAATATTTATCTTTAGTGAATTATCTTTAGTGAATTTTTTTACAGCGTTAAAGGATTTTAAAATAATTTTATCGACTGGAGACAACTGTGAAGTGGAATTATGGAAGGTGTTTATAAAGGAAAGGATCTGTTTCTCACCGTCGTACGATCCGCGGGCAGCTTGTCAATGCTATACTCCACATTCTTTAATAATTCGACGGTCGTTCTTTCTTTGTTAATAACCGGTAAACAAAATTTCTCTCCCAATTGTAGTAACAATTGAACTTCGTGCGGTATAGTCGAAGAAGACAAATTAGCAAACCATTCGTCTCTTAGTTCTAAGACAGGAGCGACCCGTGGCGAGAAAGAAGATGGATCCAGGTCAATACATTATATTACATGCCCGGTTGATAAACAGTATTGCGTACGAACATGTTCGGTTTATAAATAATATAAACATCAGCATTTTTTGAATTGAGATTATGATCGTATAATAGAGATATGACATTATCACCATATCGTCGTAAACGCCTCGTAAAAAGTACGCGCGGTCATATATTTATCGAAAGTATAAGCAATATTGTGTCGCATGCCCTGTTGATAAATAATATAAACATCAGCATTTCTTTGAAATGCATCGCGTGCGAGAACAACGCGTGCGAGGAAGAGGGAGTGATGGCGCGAGGAGAACGCATGAGAAAACGATACTTATAACTAGCGCAGGGATGGGAACGCAAGAAGAGGTTTGTAAATAATCACATTTTTTTTTAAATGAAAGTATAAGATTTAATAAAATGTGTATAACTAATAAAATAATAAGTATAAAATAATAAGAAAAAATATAAAATATAAAATTTAATCCGTTATATTATACAATGCCCATAGCTCATCAAAATTTACATAACAATCGTCATTATGATTTCTACTTAGATCTCCATTCAGATTATTTTGTTCTCCATTCTGATCTCCATTCAGATTTTTCATCTCTCCTGAAACATTCTCCTACAAAAAAATCACCCAAAAATAATTACTTGAACATTTTAAATTAATTTCGTAATTATATTAGCAAAAATTATCCGTTACCTGTACATTCTTTTCCTGTTGCTTTTTCTTTTGATATGCACACTTTTTGTATATAATTTCAGGTGGACATTTGCATTTACGAGATTGACATTGTGTATAATACCGCGTTATATATAATAATTTATGATGATTACCAGCAATGCATTTTCTAAAATCATCATATTCAATATTATGATAAAAATCATTCCAGATTATTAAATCTATATATGTTTGGTTTATGCCCGTTGGGATACGTATATTTATACACGGCGTGTATGTGCAGTCATTGATACACCTATCTACCCAACTGTAATCGACATTTTTATATATATAAACATGGTTCTCGTATTCAAATATTTGATCGCAATTATAGCGTCTAATACATTGGTATTGCCAACCATCTTCTGAGTCTATGATTCGAATAATTTTACGTTTACTGCCGAAATAAGAGTAATCATCATCATCGTATACATCAATTGAGAAGTGTGTCTTCCGAATTTCACGAAAAATTTTCAGTTGTACATGATCAGGCCATTCGATATACCCATTCTCGTACATATTAACCTCGGCTTGTCTGACGAAACGTTGCTTACGCATACCTCGTATGCCTAATTCTCGATCGCGCACATATTGTGTTATCGATATCTGTTTAGTGTTCGATTTTTCAATAGCACTATTGTTGTCATCTCGGAAAAGGGTGATTATGCACCTCCATTCGTCTATACGTGTTTGCAGCTCCATTGTTGTAATATGAAAAAATATTCACTTCTTCACTTTCGATTTCTTCACTTTCGATTTCTCGACTCGCGCACTGCCAAACTCTTTCTGACAAGGCAGCGAGATCTCGAAACGAGATCGTATAATAGAGATGTGACATTATCGCCATATTGTCGTAAACGCCTCGTAAAAAGTACGCGCGGTCCCATATATTTATTGAAAGTATAAGCAATATTGTGTCGCATGCCCGGTTGATAAACAATATAAACAAATAGTACCTCAGAATCGTCTTTCACGATTTTTTCTCGGAAGAATTTTTAACGTATCAGCGCCGATGTTTGGCTGCTTTGTACCCTTGCTTCCACCGCTCGTATATCAGCACTTTCGCGGTATACCCCTCACCCCGATATAAGTAATTCTAGATTTTTTTCGTTCGACGTATCCTTATCCTCTTTCTTTCCTAGTGTTCGCTCTCTCATGATAACTCTCTCTCGCGAGGAGCTATGCATGAAAACTGGGATGGGCAAACACAAAGAAAGTACACCATGATATAGTAAACTTAAAACTCTTTATTCAAGTTTTTATATATTTTTTGTCTTACATATTATATGGACTAAAAGCTAAAGCCGCCAGCTCGCAATCGACGAGTTGATGCTTGTTGAAAGCGTCACTCGCGCGTATTACATTTGATACTTCTTTAGGATCCGTTACAGTGGACGCGATATTGGAGAATTGCGTAAATTTGATATCGACTGTCTCGGTCACTTTATTCAATCAATCAAAAGTTACATCTATGCAATCATCGAGATCGAACATACGGTGTAACGTCGATTCGACCATCATCATGCATACGTTCGAAGATTCGAGACTTATGAGTTTGGCATCGTTAATCGTACGAACTCGCACTGTTAGCGGTCCAACGCTTATAAAATTATAGATGTCATGAGAGTCGTTCCGAAGGAGATTTAGAATATTGCGACGTTGCTCGCAGAGTCCCTTCCACGTTTCGAGAGATAATATCAGTCCCTTTCCCCGATGATCTCCTATGACAATCTCCACGTAACTCGGCAGACCCACGTTGATACCGATTTCGAGGAATTTGAATTCCGTAGCTGTCAATGCATATCGTCTGCCTAGTATACGAACCGCACAACGCTCCGACGAAATGCTACGGGAAAAATTAAAATTAAGTAATACTAATAATACAATTTGTAAAAATAGAAAAATAGAAAAAAATGTTAAACGAAACTTACTCGTCGTATTTGTTCTCAAACGATGGAGTTTTATCACGACTCGGCACGTAATTATTCACGTGTCTTCCGATGCCGCTGCTGCTTCTTTCAACGTAGTACATTTCTCTGAGAGGTTATGAAAAGTGAATCCACGAGCGGTTAACGCGACACTGATCGTACAGGAATTAATCGGTTATACCCGACGCTCATCTACCAAAAGTATAATGTAGTGGTGGGTGATCAATGCTTCTAACGCATTGGAATTTAGGATAAGAGGGAGGCGGCGCTCGAACAAAAGAATTCTTAAAAACGCAAGCAAAGGATTAGGGTGGGGAAATAAGAGATAACGCATATTAATGTTTACATATTTTATTTTTCTCGCAATTCCTTCTGGCGTCGCGACCACCAGTTAAATATTTTGAATACATTTTGTAATGCGCAATTCTTAACATGTTTTCCGCATCGCATACTATTCGTATCGTCTAATTTATTTAGAGCATCGATATCTTCGTAATCCGCATCCAAGGTTTCAATAATATAGCCGTTCACCGCATCGTCTAGTAAATATCGGCCAGCCATTTTCGCTTTTCAAGTCCTTTGATGTATACGACAGACGATTCTTCTTCTTCTTCTTCTTCATGTATCGTACCAACGACAGCTGTTGTAATCGCACGCTGAGCCAAGCCATACGGAACGTTTCCGTCTTCCCATTGTAATCCGTGATGATTTCTAATCAACCATGAGACTTGACATCGCTCAGATTTTGTAAGCACGCTCCACGGTACGGGACTTGCGAAAAAGTAATGCGATAGAACGTATCCCTTTCTCAAGACTGCCGCTTCCTTCACGACAAAATTTTTCCCAACGATAAATCCTTGCAGATCCACAAATGTTGGTACGGACATGACGAGATCTCTCTCTCTCTTCGATACGTCAGTCGAGAGGAACGACAAAACTCTAAAACCATCTCGCAAGACTTTGATTTATATCATGCTCCTCTTCCCCCTCATTCTTGTGTCACAAACACTTAGGTGATTTTGCGTACAACGTTGGTCAACGAATTGTACTGGATCACGCGATCGTGTATGATGAGACAGTACGCAGTGGTATTCGGCGGTACGTTCTCCTTACACTCGAATTCCAATCTCACATTCACGGTCGCGCTCTTGACCGATTCGTTTTGTCGAGAACAATCGATAATCACGAACGGACCGTAAAGTTGAAACATCCCGACGGAGAGACTCGGCTCGAGATACTCGTATCCGTAATAATTCTTGCAGAAGCGCATATACATGTCGTACAGAATGAAATATCTGTTTTTATCGAAATCCAGATTCATATCGTCGTACGGATAATATTCCGAATTCAGATAAAGTTTAACGTTGATCAATTTGCAGTGGTCGAATTCACTCGCATCCTTAGACATGACATTCTTCCGACCTGTCTGCAGAGCGAAGACAACGTATCGTGGTTTCTCCAGCTGAGTCACGGTCTTAATGGTCCACGAATGCTTGATCGTAAGCTGCAATAGCGGATACTCGTACAGATCCCACGAGCGAAAAGTCATGCTGAGATATCGTCCGCTTTCCAGAGCACGGAGCATCGACAACTTTTTGATTTCGCTCAACAGCACGTGAGGCATTCGCCATTGTATCTTGAATATGTCGAGCTCAGGCTCCTGCGCCGAATTTCCAAACACAATTGTCGTCGTTGCGCGATCGTATCAAGATCAATTCGTGACGAGCGTTAATCACCACGCGTCTGTAATCCTTGCAAAATCCCAGCAACATGTAGAGCGATACGCAAAAATTGAAATGTCCATTCGCGTTGGTCGACGGTTCCCAGCCGGCGTTTTTCATAATCACGCTTCTATCGGATGATACATAGTTTTTGAGCGTAGTAGTTATTCCTACGTTTCTATTGCGATCAATCTCAACACCGTCGAGTTCGTATCGAATCTCGTCGAATATGAATGCGACGCAGT